TTAAGTCACTTCCTCATTGGCTTCACACTTCAGAAACAGCGTCCAAGTTCTTCTTTGTTGTAAAGTCTGTGGTCTTACTCAGCTTCTAGTGGCTGCTTAACAATAAAGTGTAACTACGGGCCGGAGTCCTCGTTTGCACTGACGACCTACGGGGTCATTTTTAATGGAAGGTCTTAAATACATACGATCACTGATGAACTGATTTTCAGACAATTAGGCCACTTTGGTCTGCTGATGGAACATCACTGTGATGGTTAGAAGAAAGCAACCGTTTGTTGATGAGCTGCAACGAGTGACACTGAAGGCATCAACTGTCTTAGTTTGTCCAAGAAACTGCAAATTTTCACTCCTAAAAATACCAGATGTTTAAACAATTACTTTTAATTAACAGATCAGTCGACTCATAAACACTCCCAGTTGGTTTATAATCGTCTCATTTGCAAAATGATCTCGACTACTTCACTAAACTGATGTCAGATCATTTGATGATGCCCACCAACAGCCATCTGCTCCACAGCAGATATTTCAGACGTTGCTCAAACACATACAGATGTTCAGAAGTTAAAATGCTGAGGAAGGAATGAAAGTTTGTAGCTGTATTAGTTTTTTGGTCCTTTATGTCTTGCAAAGATACAGCAGAGATAGAAACCTAAAGTTAAATCTGGAAAAGTGCACGGCACCTCCCCTTTAGCTACTTCAAAGCAAAAGCAGAAAACATCTCTGCATTATTATGAGTCTCTCACTTTCACTTACTCAGCCATAAGTTATTTTGGGAGTTTGGTGAACAAGTTGCAGTTCAAACAGAAGTCAGTCACCTTGTCTGACTTCCCCCCCGACATCCCTGTAAAGTCAGGGTGGGCTCGAACATCATTACAATGTGGATGTTCTCCTTTCCTACTCTCAGCTCTTATCTCTTTGATATACATCTCCCCAAACAGGAAACCACTAAATGCGGTTTGTACAGTTTCATACCCATGCACACACAATTAAGACACAAGACGCCTATCAGATTAGTTGCCATGGCTATCACATGTGGACATGTAAACAGTTTCAGAGGGGAACATAACAGGCACGACGTGGATTAGTGTATTTGAAGAAATATATTGAAGTTATTCACTGGAGCAGCTTCTCTTTGATGTCACATGAATAAAATTTGTATGCAGCCTGGAATGAACTATATAATTAATATCGTTTGGGATGCCAGTTTGCACACGAGTTAGTCGTATTCCCACAGACTTTGTAGTGCTCTACAGAAAACTGTAATTACGATACGTCAAGTCTTTCCGGTTAAAGTTTTTCACCTGGAGAGCTCACATGAGAAGGTGACATCTGAATGAATGCTAACTAAGCCCAGGCATGAATAATGTATGTCTGTGCCCCGAGGAGAGCTCCTCTGGTCAAGCTCAAGTGCCCCTGAAGAGATTGTTGGCTCTGCTCATTATGGAGCCGAACAGGGCGTCTTTTCCCCAAAGTAGACGGCAGCATCAAGTGCTGTGACACACAAAGACACAACACTGAGAATGTGGTAGAGAAAAGCAGTTTGAGAGCTGAAGGCTTGGCTTCGGCTGCTGTTGTTGACTCGTGGCCTAATTGCTTTGATTATGTCATTTTGGATGTTGAAATCCTAAAACTACAGCGAGAAGTCGATGGGAGCGCTTTCCATAAATGTTTCAAGGTCGTGAACATCTAATGACATAAAAAAAAAAAAAAAAGCAGCGCGTTTTATGAATTCTTTTCATCCCACAGTTTCCTAAACTCACAGTGGCCGACTTTGCTTTCATGCCTGGTTTCAGTCCAGCTGTTGGGTCAGCACCTCCTGCTGATGGTGGGAGTGTAGCGTGTGATTGCTTGGGGAGGAACAGAGGGACTCCCTTCCTTTTGCCATCCTCTATAAATGTTTACCCTCCAACCTTCTTATCCCCCATCAACTTTCTGTCTTTCCATCTTTCTCCCTCTTTTTTTTTTCTCCCTCCAACCCATTACCAAAGGATGCATGGTTCAGTGGGTGCCATCGGTTATTCCCACTCTCCAGTGTCCCTCCCCACCTCTCACCTCTTTCCTTCTCCCCAGATTTTCCAGACCCTTGCTGCACTAAGCTGAGCTTAAGAGTCAGCTGAGCTGATCAAAGACCGTAGCCAAGTAATGGCTAACAAGAGGCGAGAGTTCCCAACGACACAGGACCTCCCAGGGGTTTCTACCACCATAGACCTACTGTAACTAGAATCAGGATCGGGGGACCCACGGTGATCGTACACTCTTCTTGTGTGACTGCACCAGTGGCCGTGTGGTAAATATGTACACCGACGTCTGTCTGTTGTCCTGAAAATATATATTTATGCTGACAGAGGTTGATTTCACGTCCATAGGAAATTCCACCAGTCCGCTCTAGTGACTTTACCTCTGCAGCAAGAGTTACCCTCCATTACCCAGCATACCCTGAGTGTGGGGAAGGCCCTGGTCTTGTTCCCATCATTTATCTCCCCCCCTTATCCTCATCCTCCCCTCCTTCTCCTCTATCTACCACTCTCTTTGTCCCATTGACCCCTTCCAGTTGCCTTTGCATGCTCCGGCCCCCAATTATCACTCTAATTAGCCCGAGCAGGCTGCCCTCCCCATTTGTTACCCATTTCTTCTTTTGTCCTCTGTGATCTTTTTTTTTTTGGAGTACAGTAGGACTGTATTAGGCCACTGGTTGACCCCAACAGTCATCTGCAGTGATGTAATTTTGTACACGGTGCGTCATTTTGCATTTGAAATGTATACGACCGTCTGAAAGTGAAAACAAATGTAATATTTGATCTTGTCCTGAATCAAACATCCCAGCGTTGGTGGGTTTAGTCTCACATGTTGTCAGTAAACGTAGCTATGACTGACAAACCATCAGGGAAGGAACCAGATTAGCAGATTAAATGGTGAATAAAGGCAGAACGCTTTGTTCTCATTGTTGAAAAACTGCATTACGATGAGACTCGATAGCTTTTCCAGAGCTTTTAACTCACAACTGTGGATATAATTTGGTCATGCTGAATAAAGAGGCGAGAGGCGTAGCGGCTAATGAGAGCGTAATATGATTAAATTATCTCTCCACGGAGTAAAACTGTAACATATGAATGAAAGGACTTGAAAATGTAAATGAAGTGGACCTTCATTATGAAAAGAAAACGTGTGGAGAAAAGGATTTTCTCTCATGATGGTAAAGTAAGGACTGAATATTTAATGATCAGTATTTTGCCCTTATTCTCACTTTTTTTTTCTGCTGTTTATCCACGATGCAGATTACACTTACCAGCCTACACGTTCTCGTGTTTTCCTCTTCTTCCGTCCTTTCCTTCCCCTCTTGGCACCTTGCTGGCGCCTCCTCCTCCCTCTGTGCCGTACGGTTGCTGGAACCAAATCTCTTGCACCTGCACGTCCAGGCTCTATCCGGTTCCTTGAATCCCTGTAAGCACTGTGATCTGAACTTTAAAGAAAACCAGGGACGTGAAAGAGAGAAAAAAACAAAACAATACAGAAAAAAAAGAGCTGGGTAACAGAGAGGAGAGCAGGAACTTGTTTAGTGGCCCTGCAGTGATGGTTGTGATGGAGGTTGGAAGGGTTCCTCTTATGAATGTGCATTTATCGGGAGCCGGAAGGAGCTTTATTGTAGCGGGGCTCTGGAAAATGACTGCTTTTAAGATAAGAAGCCTTTCTGCTCTGGAGTGGGACCTCATGGTTCTTTCTTCTGTTGCAGTACAGCAGCTCCCTGTCAATCTGGAGTATCTGCAGATGTAAAGTTCAGGAGTTGGGAGTGCATGTTAGGTTCTAGTCAAACAATTATTTAACTATGACTTATCAAATTAGAAAAAGTAAAAAAAAACAGATTTATTTTTATGTTTTTTAAGATTCTTTCAATATTTATATTTAAAAAGCATTTTATGGTAGAATCATTACATTTGTTTATTTATACAGACATTTTATTTGGAATGATTATAAAGGACAAATCAGTCTTTGGAAAATGTTTTTGTGCAGCGTTAACCCTGTTCAGGACTTTCACACGTAGAAGGTCTTTCAGGGTCCACCAAACCTTGAGAAAGAATATGTGCAAAACATTTGTTGGTGTTCATTACAAACTTTTATATTATGTTAAATAAATGTTCTGACAAGTTGACAAATTTTTGGTTCCAAATGCACCACAAATATCTCTCTTTTTAATCTTCAAAAATAATAAAAAACAATACCTGTCACTGAAACCAAATGGCCTGGGGTCCAAAAGCCCCCCAAAAGTCCTGAATAGGGTTAAACAAAACTATGATGTAACACATGGAAACGTGTAGTGAACATACAAGTGTTAGAAAAGGAGGTGAACAGGTGGATTTTCTTTCCTTCCTGATGTATTTGAGTCCATCAGTTGAGTTGTGTCTGAGCAAACAGCCCATTCAGCTACTCTAGTAATCCATCCTATGGTAGGAACCGCTCGGCTAACGAGAGACAAGCAGCCGTCCATCATTACTTTAAGACATCAAGTTTCAGTAAATCTGGAAAATATCAAGAACTTTGCAAGTTTCTTTAAAAACATCAGAAACCACCATTCATAATAGTTAGCAGCAGGTCACAGAACAACGACTAAGTCACATCAGAGCATAATAAGCTTCCCAGAGCTCAACACAAACACATCCTAATATCATCTGTTGGAAGGAGACCGTGTGAATCATGGAGGAACTGCTGCAAAGGACTGAGGTTGAAGGACAGAAGAAGAACTGATTGGACCCAGAAACACAAGATATTAACATCAGACCAGTGGAAATGTGGAGTTTTGTTTGATGAGACGTTGGGTTCCAGTTAGATGCAGAGACAGTGAACAGATGGTCCCTACACGTTTGGTTTAACACCATGAAGCATGAAGGAGGAGCTGCGACGGTGTGGAGGGGATGATCATCTGGTGACACAGTTGTAGATTTGCTCAGAATTAAACGTAATACTCAACCAGCATCCCGCCTGGTTAGAGCTTATTGGGACGGCCACATATCACATCTACGGGACTATCTAAGTGACTGACATGACCTGGCTTCCACAATACCTGGACCCGGGTGGTTTGGGATGAGTCAGACTGCAGAGTGAAGCAGCCAGTAAGACCTGATAAAGCGGTCTGAGGGAATGAAGATGCAACGCTGCTATCAGAGCAACAGAAAGCAAACGTGAAAAATCTGAAATTTAAAACAAAAATAGTTATCCTGAGTTATCCTGTAACAGGCTCGGTTTAGTTTTTCATTATTTGACAGCATAAAATTACATCAACGTTCCTTTTCTTCACCTTTTTTTGGGGCTCAGCTAATGTGCATCCTCAGCTTCATGACTGATTGAACTGAACTTCTGCTCTTTGACAACAATCTGTGACGGATCAGTTTAGTAATATTTAGACTTTTCAAGCTCAGATATAAGCCCTAGAATCCATGGGAGAAACTAAATGTGTCCATCCTAGAATAGCATTAGCAACGCAGCGACGATGTGAACGCGCCGTGGCGAACGGTTAGTCAACATGACCTTCAATCACAACCTGTGAGAAACCCACTGGGTTACAGTGCCTGTCTGCGGTGGTGATGTGATTGTGAGTATTGTGTATGCCAACGTCAACAGACGGGCGGTGGGAGGTGAAGGAGCCGAGGCCCGAGGGCGAACAGCTGAGGGTGACTATGGAGAGATTAAAAAGGGAATGTGGGACTTAATCCACTATTTTACCACAGTCCTCTGAATCTCTACTCACCGAGAGAGAGCAAAGAAAAGACGAGCATTCCTCCCAGGCCTCGCTAGCAGGGGGCTACAGACGCCATTCTCGTGCCATCTGGCCTTAACCAAACACGGAACAGCCCCTCGACCTTGATCCGCCTCAGCCCAACAGCCCCTTGAACCTCTTCTACCACCGCGGGCTGCCCGTCTTCTTCCCCCTCGAACCGTCTGCAGCCCTTATTTCACTGCCTTGTCCCTGGTATTGCTTTTAACTGTGCATGTGCAGGACTTTTCTTCTTTTTTTTTCATGTCCAGCGTAGCAATCAAACATTTATACGTTCTATAGAAAACTTCCATCTGTCTGTCCTTTGCTTATTGTGTCAGCTACTGTTTGACTTGCTACCACACACACACACACACACACACACACACACACTTGATGCTAGATCTGTCTCAATTCGTCTCAGTTTCCACCAGTGCAATGAAACACAGAGTTTAACACACATTTGCAGAGCTTCTCCTTTGCCCCTGAGGCTGTTGTTCCAGCTGCAAAGTGTTTTAAACGAGCTAAAAAACCAACACTAATTGCTTCGGCCCTTCTCCTCTCTGCTAGCAGCGCTGGGCTGCAGTTAGTGAAGTCAGCGACGTGCTTCTGAAACACCTGCACACTATGTGGCCCCGCAAAGGTAAAAAAACATCAAAGTCTGGGGCTACGCCATGATTGGCTCATTGTTCTGTGGGAACCACAACCTCTTTTTCTTCCAAAATGTGCTGACAATCAGAAAACAAACGTTGCCTTTTCCTGATTTTTTTCACTGTAGACGGGTCAGGAACAGCATAAAGAGCAACTCATGGTGCTCACAAGTGTGTGCATGATTGTTGTTTTAGGTAACCAGCAATTAGTCTGACAGTATGTAAAGTTGTTTTTTAGATATTAGGTGCTTGTTAAAGAGGCGATACGTTGTTCTATAATGTAAAAAATAAAATAAAATAAAGAAGTATTAGAAAAACAATTGTAATCTAATTATATGTACCATAATGTTTGAACTATTGAGGCACCTGAATATAAGCCGCATCCACTAACTGTAAAAAGAAAACTAGTTTTGTACATAAACAGGCCGCACTTGTCTATAAGCTGCAGGTGTCCTCGTTGGAACATGAGATGTTTACACAGAACGATTTTTAACTTTTAATTAAATATGTACACACACAAATAGCGTAAATGCTTTTTTATGAACAGTGCCTGTAACACGGCTGGTTAAAAAAATTTAAAATACAGCAGCCTACCAGGAAAAGTCATTGATCTCTATCTTCATCTTCCTCCTGCACTACAATCACTAAAGTCTTCAGTGTCAGAATTGAACAGCCTCAGAATCACTTCGTCACACACTTCCTCAGTCTTCCTTTCGTTGTCGCTCTTAGTGTCACTTTCGTCTCGAGGCAAATTCATAAAACTTGTACAAATCCATAAATTAGCCGCATCATTGCGTGAAAGCGTGTGAAAAAGGCAGCGGCTTATAGTCCAGAAACTACAGTATTTATTGGCCTTTTGACATTTTTGTAGTGGAAATTAACATTACTAATCGGCTCTGAGGTTTCCATGATGGTGTAACTCTAATTACTGCTTTTATTAGTGTGAATAGATGGTAAAGGAGTAACTGAAGTCCAAACTACTGCCAGTAACCAAGTGGTGTTTGGGAGCATAAATCTGAAGCCTTTCTAGGATTTTTATGACAAAAAATACAAAAAAATATATATTATTGATGCATTAACATGTATAATAAGTAGCATTTTAAAGCTGTAAAAAAAAAAAAGACCTTTATTGTCAGATTTTAATCAGTATGCTTGTAAACTACAATATATTTCTTGAGCAGGTTTCATTCTAATTAATGAGATGCCATCTTACAGTTCAGTAGTTCTCCTTCATGCCTCCATGCTGCAGTCTGCCTTGGTATAGCACAACCAGTAGGTACCGCTAACACACATAAAGGAATATACAGTTAAATTAATCAGATGTTTGATCATCAGAGTAACTCTAACTCAGGCCGACAGATGAATGCAGCTGATTAAAAAGTTTCCCTCTAAAATGTAACAGAACAGAAATACAAAGCGGTATAGAACTGAGATAAACCAGAATCAATGATCTTGAATCTTTAAGTCACTACTTTGTCGTCCGTTTTCCTCATCGCAAGAGAAGTAGGTCGAATTCCTCGCTGCTCATTTTCAACTACCCGCCACCTTCCTGGAACTAGAGCTTTTTCCCACATCCAGCAGTCTTTGGTGTGTGCTGTTTGAAAGATGTGTGAGAAACAAACGGAGCATCCGGAGATCCCTGAAAAATCATCTCTGACAAAACAAAGAGCACAGTATCGTGTCTTCATGTTTGCTAGCTTGCAAAATAGATGATTACGGGATTAGATCTGAGGACTTCTGAGGAGTTAAAGGAATCCAGCAAAGCAAAGCAGATGAAGTGAAAAATAAAATCAATCCAAGAAGTGGTTTCATATGATTTTAACACAGACTGGTTGTTGTAGGACAGATAAACCCATGAAAGTGTCACATTCATAAACCAACAAAGCACTTGAACGCAGTTACATTTAAACTGAGACTGTGTCACCTTTTAAAGATGAAATGACTCAAACTGGAAGTGGAATTAACGAGAAATAAAACACTTCAGTATGACCCGATACACTTTAAGATGTTGCTCCTACGGCCAGTGTTGCTCATTCCCCATATTTCCATATAACTGTTGAGTGAATTTGAAATGAACATGTGAAATGTTGCCCCCCAAAAAATTGCTTTTGAGTGAATAAACCAGGCTAAGTAGTGGTGACAGAGGGTGGAGATGTAAACTATGTTGGCTGTTAATAAAAACAGGGTAAAACAAAACCTCAATGAAGTAGAAAAAGAACTTTGTCCTTGTGGGAGAGAAAAGTGAAGCAAAGCCATCAGCAATTTAGTTCAATTGGGCAAAAGGTGTCTCCATCTACCAGGAAGCTATTAACACTTTTTATTTTTTTGCAGACGTCAATCACTGCCTCAAGTGAGTGCATAAACTGTTTTGTCAAACTGAGGAAGTTTCTTTAAACTGTGCTGTTTCCACTCCCTTTTATAAATGTGATTATAAGT